TTTTCCTCGGGGATTCCAATCCAGAGCCTGCTTAGGGATGTGATCGGGGTCCCTTCGGAGAGTGTGGTCTACTCAGCCACGTTTGGGTTTAATTTTTTTCTTCTTATTCTTACTCCCATTTCTGTTCTAACACCAGAGAACCATTGTAGCCTACCATACCTTCTTACATTACGCTCCCCGGGTGTACGTGTCTTATCGCGTCCCAAACCGAATCGTCCCGGAATAAAAGCCAGCGTTACGTAACAATCATTAACAGGCTCATACAATTCATACAAATTGGCCCGGGATCCCAGACGCAGCGGGTAGGTCCCCGGGGAGTTTACACAGTGCGAGGTAAGCGCCGTTTTTATTACAGAGGTCGAGTTACACTGTCAGGTTTAATATTCGTTACGATTACGCGTGTAGGAATTTGAATGAAGTGTGATAATTTGATTGTTACGATTCGAAATACTTTAACAATTGAAACTTGCAATAGTATATGTTAGATACATAATATACTATTACAAGTTTTGCAAGTCCACGAGAACTACTGCCGACAGATCTGATTAAAGTTGTAAATGTACTGTTACTTGTAAAGAATACATTTAAAAAACGTAGCAAACATAGAATTTCATATTTTAGCTTGAAATAAACACGACGTCCCACACACGCCTACGTTACGTTCAATTACGTTCCATTGTTGGTCAGTACCTCTAGTACGAAAAACTTTCGAGTTCGTTTCGTTGCGTATTCAAAGTGTCATCGAAAAATTTTGTATGAAAAATTAAACAGCGCCCCCTAGGGCGGCTATAATATAGGGGGCGCTGTTTAATTTTTCATACAAAATTTTTCGATGACACTTTGAATACGCAACGAAACGAACTCGAAAGTTTTTCGTACTAGAGGGTCAGTTGTATTTTTAGCAGTGATATAAATAGTTTGATCAAAGTCCGTATCCATAAGTAATGTCCCAATTAGTGCGCAACCAAATACATAGAAATCCATAAATGCTTTCTTGTTCTTTGAAGAATTGAATCCAGAATACTTCTCAGCTATTCCAGTTAAATTAAAACATCGCATTAAACACCGGAACATGTTTACAAGCAATTGTCGGCTAACAAACAGCTTGTCACCCGTCATATTGCAGAAGCAATAATTCGCGACGACACGGTCGTAAAGTGTAAACGCCGCACGCACGCCCCGGGCGATGCGACTGCCTATTCATATTTTAAACTTCATTTTATTTTATGAGCTGAATTAAAAATTGCTACTGGTACGGTACATGCTTTTTGGTGACTTTCATTTATATTTACAATTTCAGTAGGTAGGTACATTTAATTTTTAATTTTGATCAGAATTTAAATGGGTACTTTTTAAGTATGAAAAAATGGACTACATACTAATAAAGATTTTGATTTTTCAAAGTCCAAAACTAATAGTGAATCATCTCATTTCAAAATAATGAGATTGAGGTAAATTAAATATGATTGTCTTTAATAAAAAGCTCTTTATTCGGTTCATTATTTATTTTTATTGAATAAAGGTAGGTACCCATAACTGTGACTGTGCATTTTGCGCAGGCTTGGATGGTTGCGTGATTCATAAAAGTTTTGGAACCCTTCTAAAGCAATGACTAATACATAACTGCGGATAATATTAAACTTTTAAAAAGCTATTTAAGAGTCCATTTATGATGGAATCCATGAAATTATATTCTTATAACAACCACACACAGAAGGTTTTTAAGCTGCGTTTATGCGAAAAGACAAAAAGTAAAAACGCTACCTATGTGTAATTTCAGGTATGAATGAAATTAATGAAAAAGGAGATCTTTGATGTAAATAGTTAAAATAGTCATAGTCATATATTATTTTCAATATATTAAAAAAAACAGGCTATGTTTCTATTGGTAACTATTTACAAGTTTGAAGAAATTAAAAACAAGTCTACCGACTGTATCTAAATTATAAAATAATAAAGCAGTGCATTTAAGTTGAATTTCATTATTTCCATCCACAAATACTATTAAATACCTCTTTTTAGTACCTACCTACCAGGAACAGCTTACTAGAGTTTATTGCTTTATAAATATTGATTGAGGGAAGCAATTACCGCGACCATTAATTAGTTTAAATTACTGTTGTGTTACGTAAATGCATAAGGTAGTGTATTATTATGTAATAGGCAGTTAAACTGCATAGGTAAATATATAAAAATGTATTTGAACGTTGGACTACGTCTAAAGATTTTAAGGAAAGAAACTGCTTTTACAAAGGTGGAAAAGTCGTTTGAATTGCTCTAGTGATAGTAGACGTTCTAGATTTTCTCCCCGTTTAGTTGGGAAATTTCAGATCGTCTGAAGCGAATACCTCAACTTCATAAACTAAAGCACATCTTGCAGAAAGCATGTTTAGCAGTGGTCATTTAACCTGGACCATGGTTAACCATAAACACAAAATCAAGTGTCAAGTGGCAGTGGGCGTAGGGGCAGAAAAGTTCACTAGGTGGACAGACGATCTGGTAAAGGTCGCGGGAAGAGTGGATACAGGCAGCGCAGGACCGTTCATTGTGGAAAACCTTAGGGGAGGCCTTTGACCAGCAGTGGACGTCATTTTGCTGAAACGAACGAACGGACGATATTTGTCTGAAACGAACGAAAAATGACGTTTACACTGCTTTGTATACGCAAATACGTTAACAAACATTTTCCATTACCGTTACATTCCTGCATACGCGACGACAGCGCCATCGGCACGTGACTGCGAGTTGCCTGACAGGTTGCGCTTAAAATGCAAAGTAATTCTTTGTAAATAAATATTTGAATTTGAATTTTGAATTTGAATTTGAATTTGAATTTGAATTTGTGTGAACTCTCGGTTCCGCGAGTCGGTACGAACTTGATATTTCATTATCTCTTTTAAACTTTCAAACTAAGCCATGTTCATAAGAGCAGACGAAATATGTGAGCTAGTTGGTAGCTTTATGAGGGTAGTTAGATAAAACACCCTTAGCTTATAATAATAATAGCGATTTTGTAGCCAAAGGGCTGGAAGATATTTTCATTTAAAGCTACTTGATTATGGCAACAGAAGTATGTTGACCGAGTTGAAGAGTATTAGGAGGAATGTTCATTAGGTTAGTGTAGTACATCACAGGTGGGCTATAACACGACAAAGACTTATGCCCTTTTTCACCATCAATCCCTAATTTTAAGTGACCCCTATAGTAACACATAACAGGAATTTTGTTTTCAAAGGGGTCATTTAAAAGTTAGGGATTGATGGTGATAACGGGCATTAGTCTTGTAAAAGAGAGACGCAAAATTAAGACTTTTAAAACCTAGGGCTTTCAAAAAAGTTTCAAACTGTAATATGTTTATATCCGTTGTCTAGTACCCATAGTACAAGCTTTGCTTAGTTTGGGACTAGATGCGCAGTGTAAAATGTCCAAGGATATTTATTTATTATTATTTGTTTAATACGACTAAACATAATTTCTTGTTCTATACAACTCTCTTCCACGAGAGAACGTAATTAAAAAGCGTTACGATCCACAGTCTAGATTTTCTTACAGCCACTATTCTCTCATCAACAATGTCATCGTTCCGCAAGAAAAACGATATGAAAGTTGCCTCTGCAGCACTAAAATAAAGCACACTTAATACCCACTGCAAACTGTGAACGACTGTTGAACGAGAAAAGTGTGGAAATCCAAAACAACATAAATAAGGTGGGATCTTGTGAAAGCCCCTTAATGACGCGCTAGGCGAGCGCTAAATAGCTTAGCCCCGCTGTACAATGACGCTGTAGCTACAATGAAAGACGTTTCTGTTGAAGAATATCCAAGCAATTGTTTAATAAAAGGAAATATTAGCAAGGTTTTGTTAAAAACATTGTAATTCTCATATTGGTTTTATAAGTGAAAAAATTATTTGTTGTTTTTGTTTCAAGTAGTTCAGTTACACAGTTCTACAGCGGAATTTGTGAGATTTATTTTTATTAAATAGTTTGAAATAATAATCCCACCAAAAACATTTTCTTGTAAAATGTTGACAAAAAGTTATCAGATCTTATGTAGAGCCAATCTACAACATTAACTAGCCCTAACTTTACAAACTCTTTAATCAAAACTCTTTAGTTTAGGCTTAGCCGTTTCATTACTACAAGAACTATTGTATAAAAGATACTTGATTTAAGAATGTAGGTATATCATGTGAAATACCCCTAAGGTCGCATGAAAACAAGGTTAGCTCTCCTTCGCTTTAGACTGACATTAAAATGCCGAAACTACGATAAGTTATTCAGTTTATTTCAGCGAAAAATGTATCAGGACTTGTTTATTTAGTGACAATATTAATCGTTTCAAAATTTGGATATTTAAAACGGCTCCACCCAAACAAACTCGCTTGCAAAAGCTAGCCTACAAATACGTCCATATTTTTCCATGTCAAATGTAGGTACATTATTAAAATGCTCAAGCGTTCGCTTTGTTCGCCTCCCGGATACTTTCGAGGCTGGTGTAGGATTCAAAAGATTGATGCACCGGGATATTCTTTGAAGGGTTGCTATTTATCCTACCTGTGTGTGCGCTTGACTTTCTTTTCGTTTTAAATGATAATGGTTTCCTTCTGGTGTCTACATAATAGCGTATGCTACGATTGTGGCTACGAGTAGGTATAGGTACTCGTACATAGCTATTTAGTAACTTCCATCAATGAGCTTACCTACCATGATTTTAGTTCTTGAAAGTATTTTTTTACGCAGTCGCTAGCGAGCACACCTAACGTAACTCATGGTTAGCACACAGATGTTGTGCATTTCCTAGGTATCAAATCGAATATTTGGTATCATGTTTGATTGTTAAATCACTTTGAAAAGTTTAATTTCTAGAAAATTTATTTTGGAAATGAAGCAAAAATCTTTTGATGAAAGACTGCTTAAATAATGTATAAGGCTTAAAAAGGGAAAACCTAAATTAAAGTCAATTAGTACGTAACAATGCATGCAAGTATTCTTACATACCTTCTCGACATGTGCGTAGTTAACCTGTAACAAACGAAACTTTAATTAGCTGGAGCCGAGGCTAATTCACTTATTATAGCTTATAGCCATTACAGAAAAATATACTAAAACTTTGAAAAGAATTGTAAATCAAGCTTACAGACCTAATCCGCCTCGTGCATCACAAAAACATGCCTCCAATATTAATGGCGTAACTTTCCTTACAAATTATAAACATTCTTTACTCAATCATAAAACGATTTAAAGCAAAAACATCTGCAAAGAACAATCTTGTAATAGAGTTGGTAACAATATCAAATGCTCGTTTATCAAGCCGTTTTCCCTTGTATACTTAAGTAGTGATGTCACTCGATAGTTAGGTATCGATAGAGTTATACTAGGTTCAATCATACTTGTCTTACCTACATGTCGTGTCAGTGCATCAGTTATACAAAATATACGATTAGTCTTAGGTCTAATACAAATTAGTTTTGGACGTAATGTCATGAAGCTAACAATAATGTTTCGGCTTTTGTGAGAGGATAGTTCTGGTAATAGAAGTTTGAATCAATGTGTGACATAAATCAGTAAATATTGAAATACGTGGGACACTATTTAAGTTGTGAGCCTAACTATGAAAACAAAGTAGTTTATTATTAAAATGGTATTGATTGCGTTTATTGGTATTGTCTTTCATGATTTATGTACTTTTTAATGTGTCCGAAATACTTTTCATAGCATTTTTTCCACTCAGCTTGAGGCACCTCTAAAGCATGGTTTTTGACCGCACCGTCTGTTGCTTCTGGCTACATAAATCGCTGTTCACGCATTTAATTTTAATATATGGGTACCAAAAGAAGTGTTTAGATTCCAAGCAAGAATTTTGTAGCGTTGGACCTGTTTATTTCATATTTTGAGTGTTCAAATAGTCAGTTGTTTGACGAGACGTGTAAAAGCTCACATTTTCGTCACGAATGGCGATTCGACTAAGCTGGTCAGTTTCCCTTATTAAACTGAAGACTTTTGGGAAAAAAGTGGCTGTTTACTATTAAGAATTAACCATTCTAAATTTCTCTAGTGACGTTTCTGTCACATAATCGGATATTTTGGAAAAATAGGCGACCGTAAGTTTCAAAGTGTTCCGAGCGCATGGGACTTTTGTTGGAATTGGTTCATCTTAAAACACCTCCATAGTCGATAGCTGTTTTTTTTTCAGGATCATTATGCATAGATCCTTAATTCGTCAACTGTCACAATTTTAAAAACGGCTCTTAAAGCTTTTTAAACGTATTTATCAAACATTTCCAAGGACTAAACGACACAAGCGTCCTATTGAGCGTTTGAAAAATTTTGTGACATCCAGCGAGAAAAAAACGTATTAACCATAATATGGTCATACAATATTTTATTACTGCTGGTGGAATTAATGCCTAGGATTATCTCAATCCTACGATATATCACATGACGAGGTTTCTCTTCCATTTTTCTGACAACATCAATGTTTTCCGCCACAATTATTCATTTTGGACGACTTTCGCAAAATTCCCTGATGAGCCAATGACATACAATATTATACTTCTTAAACTAGCGTTTTACAATGTTAAAGGATATATCTTTATCACCAAAAGTGAAATTTAGCTGAGCGCTTCAGTTTTGTATTGATTAACCACGTCGAAAGTCATAATAAATCGAAAAAGTTTTGAATAAGGTTATAGTAAAAAATGTCAAACTTTTCATTAAAAGTCAGATCAGATGTCGTCTAACAACACGTTATGTTGTCGAGGCTCACAACTTAAATAGTGCCCTAGTAAAGACAAAAACTGTGAAGTCACTACTAATGTGGATTTGAAAAAAGATATAAGATAAGATAAATTTATTGAATAAAAACTTATCTAGGGAAAGCTCTAATTTTCGCCCATTTAGAGTAAGCATTGTCATTTAAAATTGTGTTATTTGAGTAACAAAATATCTGATATAATTTCAAAAACCATAAAAAAGATCGAGTCACACAATAGAAAGAAATATACCTGACATAGGTACTAAAAGTTGTTTATCGACACTAATCCATCGACAACATAACATCACTATGTTTAGGCGTATTTAGGCTCCATTACGGTAACTAGAGGAGATTCATAATTGATTAATCAGAGTATTCGATAAGCCCTCCCTAATTAAATAAGGAAATGTTTGAGTCACGCCACTTTTAAAGAAGTGATTTATGACCTGCTGCTGAAAGGAAACGACCCTTCTTGTTTTTTAAATAACTACAGCTAATTAATCAGGGTGAATATGCAATAAGACTCAGTATTGTGTGAACAGTACGCGTGTTTAAGTTTATCTTGCTAGCAGCGAAATACGAATTATTTACATAAATTCCAATGCAGGTTGGAAATTGGCACAAATAGCAGCTTATTTATTTATAATCGAAAATGGCAGCTTATTTTTTTTTATTTATTGAATGAACCACAAACAAGTTTACAATAAACTTAAACTAAAACTTATATGAAAAAAGAAACTTAACAATTGTAAACTCAACACCGATGGTTACAGTTATTTAGTTATTTGAGTTATCTCGATGAAAACCGTTCTTTTGTGGTCGAGATCTAACCTAACACATTAGAATATTCTAGTCAGATACCTGGGTTTGATTTCCGCGTGGGTAACATTGTTTCTTTATTAATCCTTTCCACTTTGGTTAACATTTGCCAGTGCAATTTCATGTCGACTATCACAGCTGTAGCAGCTGATGCTGCTGATGTCACCAGCCTATACGACACTTAAAAGACCCCTGAACAATCACGTCAGATCATTCTTAAAGTAGCAAAGAGGCATTTATTATGATAAAGCATTCCAAAGCAAAGGCCGAGATCCACGAGGCTGTAAGACGAGCTGTATCATTTCTCAGCTCCACGTGCCATCATACTAATATTAGACCCACACAAAGATTTAAGGGAAAATTGAACAAAATCTTTCCTCTAACACTACAAATTGCGAAAGTTCGTATAGCAACAAGGCATTAATCCTGCACGACCTAATTCGCTCATCTTCAAAGTAAGTACTCGATGTACAAACTTATAATTACTCCTGGCTTTCAATTAAGTAGCGTTTGCTTCAAACTCCGCCATTATCAAAATTAAGTCCTGTTTTCTGTTTCAATATAATAAACATCTCGCAAATTGATTTTATGTTTGTTGAAAACAGTCCCGTTAGATCATTTGTGTAGTTGCGACAGCTCTTTCTTAACCTTCTTCAGTGTATAAACACTTTTGGAGGTTTTTGTATTATTTGTTTTCCTTAAGGTGAGTAAGACTATAGTATTTACCTGTAACAGAACAACGAGCCGCTCTATGATATGTTCTAGCTAGTGTATTTCACTTTCACGAACCAAAAGTCGCACATTTTACCTGTATTGTACCATTCGTAAGTACGTTACATATAAAAACTCGAGAAAATGCTCTAGCTACTCACCCTTAACATTCATGTCAGTTACATTTTGAGTAAGTATTTGTATTTAACGTATCCCTGTTTTTCTGTTATAACCCTTGCCAACAGTTATTTGATACACGATACACATTAAAGCAAAGGCCTACCTACTTTCAATTTTTACGTAGTGATTCGCCTACGATTACAGAAAGTAAAGTGAAACCACAGTTTCAATGTGTAGGTCTAGCAGACAAGATAACTCTTATGTGATAGGAAACTTGTTATTGCCATTCGCCATAAGAGATATATGCTCTATGCAAATCACATAAGTAAGTGGAGGAATCCGCTTGCAAAAATTATAATAGCCACGTATAGGGTAGAATTTTGTTATAAGAAAAGTACTCTCAAACTGTAGATAGAAAATTTTACTTAAAGATAACATTTCTTAATTTTGGAAAAGAATGAAAACTGCATTCAAAGATTTCCGCAAAGCGTGCCGCACCCGGGAATTGAACTGTCTAAAATCTGTTAAAAATTACACCCTGTATAAGTAGGGGACTAGGGAGTCCCGTGGTCTTTACGCCAGACAAGCCGTTACAATTCAATAACTTAAATGATGATGATGCCATAATCAAGCAAATCGAGGACCATTTCATCTCAGCTTCCCGCAACAAGTGTAAGAACGCGTAATGTGTCGTAATGTAGTAAGCGGGCTAAACGTGACTCCGTCGCCGATTACAAATCCATATCCATCGCAAATCCTCTTTCTGGAGTGCATAGGGACGTGCTTGGTTTATCGATATTCGACTGTAATATGAATCTTTTACTTTTAAAAGACTTACGAGACAAGACACGCAGTTTCAACTATAAAAATAAATCAATATTTTTCTAATGCCCGCGATATGTGGAGCGAGTAGAAACAAGACGAAGATGTACCTACCTTTACTAAATTCTATAACGTACCTCGTAAGCTGTAGGCAGTGTCTGATCTGGACCCAGGTCAGGTATTTTTCACTTGATCAATACCAACACTTGTCAGCATTATTCACACAAATTACCAATTAAAACTCATTACTACACAAAATAAATTCCCTAATTAATACTCGTACACAAAATATGTTCCATAAATAGCAATTCACAATTATATTTCACCAATAATCCGCGATAAAACCCGATTTTCTCGGGAGCGTCGCGCGAACCGACCGAAGATTTTTAACAACTGTCAAAAATAGTCAAGTACCGCCCGAACTTTTTATAAACTTATTAAACACACTACCAACTTTTACCAAACATTTATTACTAAGTACCCTGGAAATAAATGCCATTGCTAAATAATTCCCGTTGTTATATTTGGTTTTAAAAAAGTATTCAGGTTTGAGTTGTGCTGTGTTTTTTTATGTAGGTATGTACATATCCAGCATTTCTTGTGAAGTAGTAGAAGTTATAGCCAATATTGTATTCGGAACTTATTCGGTTAAACAAAGATGGTGGCAGATCAAAATTAAGTTAGGTTTGTGAATGGCAGGTTCCTTTTGAACCGCACCATATTTGATCGCCATTGCATTAGAAAGTCTTTAGCTATATTTCTTGTTAAACAGATACTTTCTTATATCGGTACTTCGAT